ACTACACTATGAAACAAATATAAATGACATAAAGAATGATAGTAAAAAGCTTTGGAGCACCTTAAATGACATTTTTGGCAAAAAGGCAAACTCAGCTCCATCATTCATTGAATCAGATGGCTCTTTCATCACAAAACTCACTGATATTGAAATAATTTTTTAAATGGCAAGATTAGCAAACTTAGGCATGACTTGCCAGCAACAAACACTACACATCCAAGTATAACTGATCAAATTATGAAAGACAAGCGTTGTAATTTTGAATTCCGTAATGTGTGGAAGAAGTGAAAAAAATATTGTTGTCTATCAACAATGACAAGCCACCGGGGTCTGACAACTTGGATGGAAAATTACTGAGGATAATAGCGGACGATAATGCCACTCCTATTTGCCATATCTTCAATCTAAGCCTACTAGAAAATGTGTGCCCTCAGGCCTGGAGGGAAGCATAGGTCATTCCGCTACCCAAGAATAGTAAAGCCCACTTTACTGGCTCAAATAGCTGACCAATCAGCCTGTTACCAACCCGTAGTAATCTTTTGGAGAAAAAAATGGTTTGAACAAATACAATGTTATTTTACTGTAAATAAATTCACAACAGACTTTCAGCATGCTTATAGGGAAGGACATTAAACAAGCATAGCACTTACACAAATTACTGATGATTGGCTGAGAGAAATTGATGATAAATAGATTGTGGGAGCTGTTTTGCTAGGCTTCAGTGCAACATTTGACATTATCGATCATAGTCTGCTGATGGAAAAGTGTATGTGTTATGGCCCCTGCTATATTGTGGATAAATAGTTACCTGTCTAACAGCACACAGAGGGTGTTCTTTAATGGAAGCCTCTCGAATATAATCCAGGTAGAATCAGGAATTCCCCAGGGCAGCTGTCTAGGCCCCTTACATTTTTCAATCTTTACTAATGACATGCCACTGGCCTTGAGTAAAGCCAGTGTGGCTATGTATGCGGATAACACTTAACAAAGAGCTGCAGTTAGTTTCAGAATGGGTGGCAAGGAATACATTAGTCCTAAATATTTCAAAAACTAAGAGCATTGTATTTGGGACAAATCATTCACTAAACCCTAAACCTCAACTGAATCTTGTAATAAATAATGTGGAAATTTAGCAAGTTGAGGTGACTAAACTGCATGGAGTAACACTGGATTGTAAACTGTCAAAACATATTGATACAACAGTAGCTAAGATGGGGAGAAGTCTGTCCATAATAAAGCGCTGCTTTGCCTTCTTAACAGCACTATCAACAAGGCAGGTCCTACAGGCTCTAGTTTTGTCGGACCTGGACTACTGTTCAGTCGTGTGGTCAGGTGCCACAAAGAGGGACCTCTGAAAATTACAATTGGCTCATAACAGGGCAGCACGGCTGGCCCTTAAATGTACACGGAGAGCTAACATTAATAATGTGCATGTAAGTCTTTCATGGCTCAAAGTGGAGGAGATTGACTTCATCATTACTTGTTTTTGTAAGAAGTGTTGACAAGCTGAATGCACCGAGCTGTGTGCTAGTAGTTTAAACAGACTACTAGCACACAGCTCGGACACCCATGCATACTCCACAAGACATGCCACCAGAGGTCTCTTCACAATCCCCAAGTCCAGAACAGACTATGGGAGGCGCACAGTACTACACAGAGCCATGGCTACATGGAACTCTATTCAACATCAGGTAACTGATGCAAGCAAGCGGAATCTGATTTAAAAAACAGATGGAACAGCGGAGACTGTGAAGAGACACACACAGGCACAGACACACATGATAAGACACGCACTCTACCCACACGTACACATGGATGTTGTATTGTAAATATGTGATAGTTGAGTAGTGATCTGAAGGAACACACTAAATGGATTGGGTAAAGTGTTATGAAATGTGAGACTTGAGTTGTGCCATCAGCTGGAAGACGGTGTCCCCTTTTCTCAGCGCAGGGAGAGGCAGCCTCCCTCCCTCCCCTCAGATTCAGGTCATCAATTCAGAAAAAAAAGTATTATGCTCACTCAGCTGTGCCTCACAAGTAATACAACAAATTATCTATTACCAGCGTGATCACATTTTTTAAATATATTTTCAAAATGGTCTGAGAAGAACAACATCAAGCGTAGCCAAGTGATAATGTATTGGGCCTACAGCCTACTGCACAAACCTCATTGCTACAGAACTGTTTTAAATTGGTTAATGTTGCATAGGGTTACGTTTTTTAAAGTCATGTTTAAAAAAATTCTGAGTGATTATTGCATTTCTCGGCTTGCATTTCGACTCAGAAATTGATCTTGACACCAAAACGACACAGGGACAAAGTGGAGATATTTTAATCATGTTTTACCCACTTCATATGTGGCTTCAGAAAGCATTCACATTACATTTTCATTTTAGTCATTTAGCAGACGCTCTTATCCAGAGCGACTTACAGTTAGTGCATACATTATATATATACTGGCCCCCCATTGGAATCAAACCCACAACCCCAGCACAATAGACCCTGGTGTTGCTCTATCAACTGAGCTACATCCCTGCCGGCCATTCCCTCCCCTACCCTGGACAACGCTGGGCCAATTGTGCACCACCCCATGGGTCTCCCGGTCACGGCCGGCTGCGACAGAGCCTGGATTCAAACCAGGATCTCTAGTGGCACAGTTAGCACTGCAATGCAGCGCCTTAGACCACTGCGCCACCACACCCCATGTCTTTTTCCACATTTTGTTGTGTTACAGCTTGAATTTAAAATTGATTAAATTGAGATTATGTGTCACTGGCCTACACACAATACCCCATAATGTCAAAGTGGACATTTTTACTAATTAATTAGAAATGAAAGCTGAAATGTCTAGAGTCAATAAGTATTCAAACCCTTTGTTATGACAAGCCTAAATAAGTTCAGTGGTAAAAATGTGCACAACAAGTCACATAATAAATTGCATGGACTGATTTTTGAATGACTACCTCATCTCTGTACCCGACACATACAATTATCTGTAAGGTCCCTTAGTCAATCAGTGAATTTCAAACACAGATTCCAACCACAAAAGGCCAGGAAGGTTTTCCAATGGCTCGCAAAGAATGGCACCTATTGGTAGATGGGTAAAAAAGTATTATATGTGGAGGAAGCTAGCAGGTATATATATTCATGGTATTAGTTGACCATTTTGAACAGTTGTTGTGCTTTAATCAAATCCATTTTATTGTATATTTGTGTCTTTAGATGATCATTTTCAAAGAAAACACAAGATGACTGTAAACCAAGTTATGTCAATAGTGCTCCTTCTAATGGGTAAGGGACTTGTATTCAACATAATTATACATTTTGGATTGTATATCTATGATATCATTGTTATTATTTTAATCAAATGAATTTTCCTCTGTTTTTTGCTGAACAATAGTGGCCTTTAATATGAATCCAACAGCCGCAACCACTACAACCTACACTGATTCATCGACAACAACTGGTGAACCCACTACAACCGTCATTGATGCATCGACAACAACTGGTGAACCCACTACAACACTCACTTGCTCATCGACAACAGATGGTGAATACACTAAAACCGTCATTGTTGTATTGACAACAACTGACGAACCCACTACAGCAGTCACTTGGTCATCAACAACAACTGGTGAACCCAATAAAACTGTCAATGGGTCATCGAGAAACACTTGTGAACCCACTACAATAGTAATTGATGAATCGACAACAACAGTTACAACTGCACCCACAACAACTGTAACTGTTCCATCGACAACTACTGTTACAACTGCACCCACAACAACTGTAACTGTTCCATCGACAACTACTGTTACAACTGCACCCACAACAACTGTAACTGTTCCATCGACAACAACTGTTACAGCTGCACCCACAACAACTGTAACTGTTCCATCGACAACTACTGTTACAACTGCACCCACAACAACTGTAACTGTTCCATCGACAACTACTGTTACAACTGCACCCACAACAACTGTAACTGTTCCATCGACAACAACTGTTACAGCTGCACCCACAACAACTGTAACTGTTCCATCGACAACAACTGTTACAACTGCACCCACAACAATGGAATGTTCATCGACAACTACTGTTACCACTGCACCCCTACAAAGAACCTGTAAATGTTCCACGACACCAAACTTTAACAGCTGCACACACAAAAACTGTAATGGGTCCATCAACAACTACTGTTACAACCTGCACCCACACCAAATGTAACTGGTTCCATCGACAAACTACTGTTACAATGCACCCACAACAACTGTAACTGGTCATCGACAACAATGTTACAGCTGCACCCACAATCAAACTGTAAACTGTTCATCGACAAATACGTTAAACTGCACCCACAACAACTGTAAAAGGGTCCATCAACAACTACGTTACAACTGCACCCACAACAACTGAACTGGTCCACGACAACAACTGTTACAACCCTGCACCCACAACAACTGTAACTGTTCCATCGAAAACTACTGTTACACTTCACCCACAACAACTGTAATGTCCATCAACAACTACGTTACAAACTGCACCCACAAAACTGTTATGGTCCATTGACAACAACTGTTACAGCTGCACCCACAACAACTGTAACTGTTCCATCGACAACTACTGTTACAACTTCACCCACAACAACTGTAACTGGTCCATCAACAACTACTGTTACAACTGCACCCACAACAACTGTAACTGGTCCATTGACAACAACTGTTACAGCTGCACCCACAACAACTGTAACTGTTCCATCGACAACTACTGTTACAACTGCACCCACAACAACTGTAACTGTTCCATCGACAACAACTGTTACAGCTGCACCCACAACAACTGTAACTGTTCCATCGACAACTACTGTTACAACTGCACCCACAACAACTGTCACCGGTGCATCAACTGCCACCACATCTACAACGGCTACTCCTGTCACCACTACTGCCATCATCACAACCACAACCCCTGCAACTACCGCTGTTGCACTCACTAAAGTATCTGTGGTGTTCACGTCCAGAGAGATATTTACCCCTGACCTATCAAACACATCTTCTCAGGCCTTTCAAAACCGAACAAGACTGATTATAACTCTGGTGAGCCTCCCAAAACAATAAAGATGTGAATGTCCTAACGAGAGAGGTAGAATACAGTAATACAGTCAGCTTTTAAATCGACAGGAAGTTGTTTGTTTAAACTTCATCTGTTTCTTGTTTTGCCTTCCAGCTTGAACCTTTCTATCGATCGGCTTTCCCCTCTTTCATCAGTTTGACTGTGATAAAATTCAGGTGATTTTTTTTTGCATTACATTTTTTATGTTGATTTAAATTGATCTCACTTTCTATCTAGCTTTAACCTGTTATCTCTCATTTGTTCCCAGCTCTGGATCCATCATCAATACCGTGAATTTAGCATTCAACTCCTCCTCTGTCCCTAATACCAAGGAGATTGGCAACGTTTTGATAAATGCTGCACGAAACGACACAGCTTTTAACATTGACCCCACCTCAGTGACAGTCGACGGCACAGGTAAACACATTTATTTCTTAATTTCCATTCTATTATCCGGTAAATTAATATTTAACACACACCAGCGCCGCCCCCAGCCCCACCCCCTGCTGCAGCAACAGAGCAGGACCATCTCTTCCTTCGCGCAGCAACTGCTCAGGTTAAAAACATACAAAAATAACATGTATTTTGACTATCCTGAAAACATTTATATTGTAAGCTATATCTAGTGTGATGTCCCCTTGCTGCCACAATGACATGCAGATCATTTACAGTGCATTCGGACCCCTTCACTTTTTACCAAAAACATTTTTTTTTACGTTAGACCATTATTCTAAAAAAGCAAACACTGTTGTTTTTTAACATTTTGGCACATTTATTAAAAAATAAAACACTGATATCACATTTACATAAGTATTCAGACCCTTTACTCAGTACTTTGTTGAAGCACCTTTGGCAGCGATTACAGCCTTGAGTCTTCTTGGGCATGACGCTACAATCTTGGCACACCTGTATTTGGGGAGTTTCTCCCATTCTTCTCTGCAGATCCTCTCAAACTCTGTCAGGTTGGATGGGGAGCGTCGCTGCACAGCTATTTTCAGGTCTCTCCAGAGATGTTGGATCGGGTTCCGGGCTCTGGCTGGGCCACTCAAGGTCATTCAGAGACGTGTCCCGAAGCCACTCCTGCGTTGTCTTGGCTGTGTGCTTAGGGTCGTTGTCCTGTTGGAAGGTGAACCTTTGCCCCAGTCTGAGGTCCTGAGCGCTCTGGAGCAGGTTTTCATCAAGGATCTCTGTACTTTGCTCTGTTAATCTTTGCCTCAATTCTGACTAGTCTCCCAGTCTATGCCACTGAAAAACATCCCCACAGCATGATGCTGCCACCACCATGCTTCACCGTAGGGATGGTGCCAGGTTTCCTCCATACGTGACGCTTGGCATTCAGGCCAAAGTGTTCAATTTTGGTTTCATCAGACCAGAGAATCTTGTTTGTCGGGATCTGAGAATCCTTTAGGTGCCTTTTGGCAAACTCCAAGCGGACTGTTATGTGCTTTTACTGAGGAGTGGCTTCCGTCTGGCCATTCTACCATAAAGGCCTGATTGGTGGAGTGCTGCAGAGATGGTTATCCTTCTGGAAGGTTATCCCATCTCCACAGAGGAACTCTGGAGCTCTGTCAGAGTGACCATCGGGTTCTTGGTCACCTCCCTGGCCAAGGCCCTTCTCCCCCGATTGCTCAGTTTGGCCGGGCGGCCAGCTCTAGGAAGAGTCTTGGTGGTGCCAAACTTCTTCCATTTCCCCAGATCTGTGCCTCGACACAATCCTGTCTCGGAGCTCTACTTCCACCTCGTGGCTTGGTTTTTGCTCTGACATGCACTGTCAACTGTGGGACCTTTATATAGACAGGTGTGTGCCCTTCCAAATTATGTCCAATCAATTGAATTTACCGCAGGTGGACTCCAATGAAGTTGTAGAAACATCTCAAGGATGATCAATGGAAGCAGGATGCACCTGAGCTCAATTTTGAGTATCATAGCAAAGGGTCTGAATACTTATGTAAATAAGGTATTTCAGTTTTACATTTTTAATACATTTGCTAAAATTTCTACAAACCTGTTTTCGCTACGTCATTATGGGGTATTGTTTGTAGATTGATGAGGAAACATTTTTATTCAATCCATCTTAGAATAAGGCTGTAACGTAATAAAATGTGGGAAAAGTTAAGGGGTCTGAATACTTTCCGAATCGTCTGTATACTTTAGAAATGGTTATCAGTTGAAGTGGTTAATGTGAAATGTTTCAGGAAGCCAGGCGGTAGTATATCCCTGATATTTTATCATCCCAGATGTGAATTACATAAAAGCCCAACAATTTATGATTTTGTTGTCAATATAAGAGCAACACGTCTTGCAACTTCATAATTACAATGTCTTATAGTGTACTTGTAGCGGGTGATTTGGATGGAGTCAGGCACAGGAGGTGCAAATCACAGAATAATGGTTTATTCGGCCAATACAGCAGTTCACAGCAATGCGTAAAACAACCACAGTGCAACTTAACGGCGCACTAGGGAAAAAACTAAACACACGGGTGAATATCCCATATCCCGGCGATAAAGTACATAATGCTCCACCGAGCTAACGAACACCTCCACATGGAAACAATCACACTCAAAGACAAGGGAGGCAGAGGGAAACACTTATACCGGTACTGATGAGGGGATATGAACCAGGTGTGTGTAACAAACAAGACAAAACAAATGGAATGATGAGATGAGGAGCGGCAGTGGTTAGAAGGCGGGTGACGACGATCGCCGGCAGCCTGCCCGAACTAGGAGGGGGAGGCAGCTTCGGAGGACGTCGTGACAGTACTTGCAATTCTGTATACTGCCACACAGCCTTAAAGTGTTGTGGAAATGTCCATTTTCTTTTTGAACTTAGGTGCTCCTGCAACAGCTGTTCCTGCTACCTTGCCCACAACTACAGTCTCAAGGACATCATCACAACTGTCAACGACTACCACCACAACAACCAAAGCACCAACCACTACTACAACACCTACCACTACTACTCATACTACTACTACTACAAGACCTACTACTACTAGTACTACTACTACTACTACTACAAGACCTACTACTACTACTACTACTACTACTACAAGACCTACTACTACTAGTACTACTACTACTACTACTACAAGACCTACTAGTACTACTACTACTACAAGACCTACTACTACTACTACTACAACACCTACCACTACTACTACTACTACTACTACAAGACCTACTACTACTACTACTACTACTACTACAAGACCTACTACTACTACTACTACTACTACTACAAGACCTACTACTACTACTACTACTGCTAAAACAACTACAGCTACCACAACAACTGCACCTCCTGAAGCTGCTCCAGTGGTGGTTTTCGTCATACAACAAGTGTTCGTAATAGCTTTGAATAACCCTCAAAGTAAAGAATTCTAAGCACTTGCAATAACCATAACTGCAGTGGTAAGTCCTAAGATATTCAAGAGTTTGTTTTTATTGGGTGTATGACCATCCAATGATGTATGTCGATAGTTGTAAAAAATCTACATTTTAAATGATATCTTTAATTTGTTCTAATCAGGTGACAATTAGTCTCCATCACTACAGATTGATTTATATTCCCCGTTACCTACAGTACCAGTCAATGAGTGGATGTGTCTGTATGTTAAATAACTATGGCTTAGCTAATGTGGATATGAATATATATATAAAAAAATGCTGTGTGTGTGTTTGTTAAATCATTAAAATGTTATCCTGTTTCTACCTTACAGTTTAATGTGATCTACAAAACAAAATATGGGATTCTTTTCATCCGTTCAGCTGCAGATATGATGATATCGAGTTCTTATTTTTTAGAACAAATATTTTCATTATTTTCTATATAAGACAACAAATAAGCAGTACATACAAGCAGTACCCAGGGGGAGCAACCACACACAAAAAAATATAAGATGTAGGATCTTTAATTTGAGCCAGTTTTGCTACAGCATGAAAGTAATCCTGCAGCAAAAGGAAATGTGAATTATTATGTGGCTTATAATTAGTGGACATTGTTTGTAGGGGTTGATATATCTTTCATTAGGGAAAATCCAGTCTGACTATTTAAAGTAGAAAATAAAAACTTTAGAAGCCTATTTGAAACTCAAATACACTAGAAGTTTGCATTTCCTGCAGTGCAGGAACATTCTCAGCAGCAAAATAGTGATCAGAGGTAAGGAAAAGCAGCCAAGACTCCTTCAAGACTGTTGGAAAAGCATTCCAGGTGAAGCTGGTTGAGAGAATGCCAAGAGTGTGCAAAGCTGTCATCAAGGCAAAGGGTGGCTATTTGAAGAATCTCAAATATAAAATGTATTTGGATTTGTAGAACACTTTTTTGGTTACTACATGATTCCATATGTGTTATTTCAGAGTTTTGATGTCTTCACTATTATTCTACAATGTAGAAAATAGTAAAAATAAAGAAAAACCCTGGAATGAGGAGGTGTTCTAAAACTTTTGACCGGTAGTGTAAATATGTCCTTGAACATTAACACCCAAACTTTACCCAATACAGTATTCAGTTCAAACCAGCTTTTAAGAATGGTTTTCTTCACAGCTGTTGAACCTGTGCAGTTTATCACCATAGCAATAAATGCTGAAAGTCCACCTTTTTTCACGACGAGGGTATCTGGATCCACCTGTCTCAATGCACTACGCTGTGGTGATCCCCATGACAACGACCTACTAGCACTTTCTTTCACTCTTTTTGCCACCTCGGCATAAGAGCCAGCTGTTATCCTGGCAATCTCTGCCTCCATTCTGACAGGGCATTGTGCATGGGGTCCCACTACATTTTGTCATCTTCTGCAACAAAAAAATATACTGCACATGTCCAAAGGATATTGCAATACCCTGGGAACAAATGCTCTCACGGGATAATTCACATCTTGACATCTTTTGAGTGTCTGAGTGTTTTACTCTGTACAGGAGTAAACATAACACAATCACATTTAATTATTGTCATCAACACAAACACTGAGGTTCTTTACCACCACTGAGTGGTATTTTAACTGTACTCCTGAGTGGCGCAGTGGTCTAAGGCACTGCATCGCAGTGCTAACCGTGCCACTAGAGATCCTGGTTCGAATCCAGGCTCTGTCGTGACCGGGAGACTCATGGGCGGCGCACAATTCGTCCAGGGTCAGGGGAGGGAATGGCCGGCAGGGATGTAGCTCAGTTGATAGAGCATGGCGTTTGCAACGCCAGGGTTGTGGGTTTGATACCCACGGGGGGCCAGTATAAAAAAATATATATTTATACGTATTCACTAACTGTAAGTCGCTCTGGATAAGAGCGTCTGCTAAATGACTGAAAAATGAAAATGAAAAAAATACACACAATTTTTTTTTTTTAAATACAACTGAAAATGAACAATATTAAAAAATAAAATACTAATAATACTAATTACATAGTACATTTAACTCTGGTTATTAACACAAACACTGGGGTCCATTACCACCACTAAGTGTTCATTTAACTCTTGAATCAACTCTAGAAATGTTACACTGAAAAATCAACACCAGGTAACACTGGCCAATTTGCCATGTAGATATATAGGCTTGTACAGCATAGACGTTCATAGACTAACCATTAGCTTGTACAGCATAGACGTTCATAGACGAACCATTAGCTTGTACAGCATAGACGTGCATAGACGAACCATTAGCTTGTACAGCATAGACGTTCATAGACGAACCATTAGCTTGTACAGCATAGACGTGCATAGACTAACCATTAGCTTGTACAGCATAGACGTTCATAGACGAACCATTAGCTTGTACAGCATAGACGTGCATAGACGAACCATTAGCTTGTACAGCATAGACGTGCATAGACTAACCATTAGCTTGTACAGCATAGACGTTCATAGACTAACCATTAGCTTGTACAGCAAAGACGTTCATAGACAAACCATTAGCTTGTACAGCATAGACGTGCATAGACAAACCATTAGCTTGTACAGCATAGACGTTCATAGGCTAACCATTAGCTTGTACAGCATAGACGTTCATAGACGAACCATTAGCTTGTACAGCATAGACGTTCATAGACTAACCATTAGCTTGTACAGCATAGACGTTCATAGACAAACCATTAGCTTGTACAGCATAGACGTTCATAGACTAACCATTAGCTTGTACAGTAACTTTTCTGCTCTTTTGTCTTCAAAGTGTCAATTTCACCCACCACAAATGCAACTGCCAACACATCTACAACGACAAATGCCACAACTATAACTGCCACCACATCTACAACGGCTACTCCTGTCACCACTACCACAACCCCTGCAACTACCGCTGTTGCACTCACTGGAGTAACTGTGGTGTTCACGTCCAGAGAGATATTTATCTTTGACCTATCAAACACATCTTCTCAGGCCTTTCAAAACCGAGCAACACTGATTAAAACTAAGGTGAGCCTCCCAAAACAATAAAGATGTGAATGTCCTAACGAGAGAGGTAGAATACAGTATTACAGTCAGCTTTTAAATCGACAGGAAGTTGTTTGTTTAAACTTCATCTGTTTCTTGTTTTGCCTTCCAGCTTGAACCTTTCTATCGATCGGCTTTCCCCTCTTTCAACAGTTTGACTGTGAAAAAATTCAGGTGATTTTTTTTGCATTACATTTTTTATGTTGATTTAAATTGATCTCACTTTCTATCTAGCTTTAACCTGTTATCTCTCATTTGTTCCCAGCTCTGGATCCATCATCAATACTATGACTTTAGCATTCAGGTCCTCCTCTGTCCCTAATTCCAAGGAGATTGGCACCGTTTTGATAAATGCTGCACGAAACATCACAGCTTTTGACATTGACCCCACCTCAGTGACAGTCGACGGCACAGGTAAACACATGTATTTATTTAATTGTACTCTATTATCAGTTAAATACATATTTTGTGTGCCATATATTTCGTACACCATACGCCATTATCTCTACATGAACCAATAATAATTAATTAGTTGCATTCCAGTTGTATTCAGCAAATCAGCTGTCACCCTAATCACATTACAGGGAAACAAACACTAATCTTATTTTATATTTTTTATCTCCATCCATGCAGCTGTGACCTCAAGTGGAGTAAGCGGCAAGACCAGTCTCTTCACCGCCATCTTTCTGGTGGTCCTGTCGCTGCTACTGTCGAGCCAGCATTAGTCTCACTGGTAATGCCAACTCGCTGGCAAGCAGCCAGCCAGAAAGACTGTTGGTAGTCATATTTTCACTTTGAGAACTTCCCACACATTCCAAACCCCAACCCCAATTCCACCCCATGATTGGAAAAGCGTCCCAAAAAATGAAATGAAGTCTTGTGAGTTGACATAAGATACAGTATATGTGGCAGTTGAACAAAATGATGTGATATAATTTTCTGCCTATTCCATCAAAATGTGTAAGGGTTTTCCGATAGGTTAATTTTTATTTCTGTGCAATGCAAAGTATGTTTGAATTAATATGTTCTTAAGGTTATTTTTGATTCTCTCTGTTGCTGATATGAACAAAAACATGTATTCACTCTGTTGCTGATATAAACTAATGGGTACAATATTTTATTTTCTATTTTGACTAAACCAGTGAAACCTGGATAACGGATTTAATAAGGGTCTTTGGAGCAAAATGTTCAACGATTTAAACTATTATGAATGTAGTCTTCATCATGTATGTTATACCGTATAATGTAATTGTGTTATCAATAGTCATGATATTGTTCCAGTGTAAGGTTTTACGATTTTTTCTGGAGGTATACAATCTTCAATACATGTGTAGCTGTAGTTAAGATTCGGACCATTGTAGTGTTTACTATTTGTTTACTAAATGAGGGGAATGGATGACAAGGTACAGTTGTGATGTTAATCTGACTAGATCAGCCCCACGAGATACACAGTGAGGGAGGGTTGTGCCCCACTGGTCTGGACAGCAGGTAGTTACACAGTGATACACAGTGAGGGAGGGTTGTGCCCCACTGGTCTGGACAGCAGGTAGTTACACAGTGATACACAGTGAGGGAGGGTTGTGCCCCCTGGTCTGGACAGAAGGTAGTTTACACAGTGATACACAGTGAGGGAGGGTTGTGCCCCACTGGTCTGGACAGCAGGTAGTTACACAGTGATACACAGTGAGGGAGGGTTGTGCCCCACTGGTCTGGACAGCAGGTAGTTTGTTGGTGCAATATTCGCTCTCCCAGAGACTGAGCTTTGATGGGTGCCTTCCCGTTCCCGGACTCTGGAGTAAGATAGATTTGTAGCTTTCACCAGACGAAACACTAGATGCCATTCCACAATAAATCGCCCGGGTTAACCGATGACTGCAGATGTAGATAGTTTGAAGTGTACGATATCTCTGAATGGGGAAAAACAAAACGGGTTTAGTGCCTTTTCTTATCTAACTCTTCAATAATGTATTTGGTATGATTGTGTGTTAGGGACTGTACCTATTATCATATTTATAATGTATCAGTAGTATTTATCTTATATCATTATATATTTTCAAAAACAAATATTGTATTCTGTGAGCTCAATTGTAACATTCTTCCATTACAGAATGAAAGGGTTATGAATAAATTAATGACGATCAGAAGACAAAGAGTTGTTGTGTCATTGAACAGGAGTTTTTACATTTCACTGTGTATTTATCTCATCCACATACTGTCAAATCAATCGAAGAAAGATTTCAATGACAGAGAACCTGTTTTGATGGATCAGCTTGTGCCGTCCCACAGGTCTGAAAATCCCCCCCCCCCCCCCCGTGATAATACCCCCCCCCCCCCCCGTGTATATCCCACCCCCAAAACCCCCCCCCCCCCCCCTGTAATATCCCCCCCCAGTGATAATAAACCCCCCCCCCCCGTGTAATATCCCCCCCAGTGATAATATCCCCCCCCCGTGATAATATCCCCCACCCAGTGATATATCCCCCCCAGTGATAATATCCCCCACCCAGTGATAATATCCCCCTCCCAGTGATAATATCCCCCCCCAGTGATAATATCCCCCCCCCCAGTGATAATATCCCCCCCCCCGTGTTAATATCCCCCCCCCAGTGATAATATCCCCCCCCCCGTGATAATATCCCCCCCAGTGATAATATCCCCCCCCCAGTGATAATATCCCCACCCCCCGTGATAATATCCCCCCCCCCCCAGTGATAATATCCCCCCCCAGTGATATATCCCCCCCCGTGTAATATCCCCCCCCAGTGATAATATCCCCCCCGTGATAATATCCCCCCCTGATATATCCCCCCCCCAGTGAAAATATCCCCCCCCATGATAATATCCCCCCCAGTGATAATATCCCCCACCAGTGATAATATACCCCCCCCAGGTCCCCCATCCCCCCCCCCCTGACAATTCCCCCTCCCTGTGATATATCCACCCCAACCCATGATAATAATCCCCCCTCCCGTGACAACTCCCCCTCCCTGTGATAAATCCCCCACCAGTGAAAATCCCCCAAGTGATAAATCCCCCCCAGTGATAATATCCCCCATGTGATAATATCCCCCACCCCCCCCAGGTGATAATATCCCCCCATGAAATTCCCCCCCTCCCAGTGATATATCCCCCCCTGTGAAATCCCCCCCAGTGATATATCCCCACCAGTGATAATATCCTCCTTTGTAGCATGGTTGGAGCCTGAGTTGGAATGTGAAGCTAACTGAAAAAGTCAGAATAGATCTAGCTAGCGTCATAGTGTAGGCCTGCTGCTCTGGTTTCCCCGGTCTAAATCAGACACTCATTAAGCTAAAGGCAAAGAATGAAACCAGCAGATATTGCAGCCATGCAGGAATTGAGTTCGATAACCTAAACTCCACAGTCCTCCACAGCCCTCCACGGTTTATACTGAAATGTCATCGTAACCAATGTTTCCTCTCATTTTTATCGGCACTGAGCAAATTTCAGGTCTGCTGAGCGCAAACTTGAGCGTCGTGAAAACTCTGTGCAAATTCCAGCGCGCGTTTCCTGTGAACACTGAGGCTGAACCCGCTTTAAGTTACAGTTTTAACAGTGGCCCAGTAGGCTGCTGTGGCTATTTGATCCATAATGTAGGCCTACCAGAGTGGCCTACCATCAAAAACAATGGAGAAAATGCATCCCATAACATTTTAACATGGAATAGTGGTTCTATCACTCAGCCTACAGTAGAAGCCAATGTGTGGTGTTCAATGTCGGCCTACATTCCATGAGACTTTTGAAAAAAACCTGCAGGGCTTGGCATTAACCTGTTTATCCACTTGTCCTTAAGACAAGGAGGTGACTGAACATGTTGTTGTGCTGTTTGATGCAAGAAACCACTTTACAAAATAAAATGCATTATTATTCCAATACCATTAATACAGAGAATCAGACAAATTATGCTACTTAGCTTTTTCAAGCCTGTCTCAAATACAACACTGCCCCTTCAAGACTAAAAAGCTCTTTACCTGACTCGCTTTTCAAAGATGTCTAGAAATGTACCAGTTTTGTGCTCTTGTAGGAACAATCTTACCCCTATTGCTGACTACAAATGATCTATAACTGGGCTAATAACTCACTAACTAGCAAAGGATGTGAACTAAATGTGCACACGTGGCTACATGCAGCTCTGATCTCAAAACAAGCACATCTACTCACGACCACTCATGCTGTAAACACAGTCCAGTTCAAAGGAAATGGCACAGATCCATATATGGCAATGGTCTATTTGCATATAGGCCTACTGCAGCTCTGATTGGTTATGCAGCACCAGTCTGTGTTGAGTACGGGCTGAGTAGTGAGTGTCAATGCAATAGAATCCTACTGCGGTGCGTACTGCCCACTACAAAATCTCTTGCAAAGTTTGTTTTGTTTTGGTATGTTGCATTGAAAGTGGCTAATATTGCGTTGATTCGCTTTCTGAGTCAAAATGCAAGCTGATATCTACCACTGTACATATGTCTATGCAACATTAACCTATTAAAAACAGTTCTGTAGCAATGAAGTTTGTGCAGTAGGCTGTAGGTCCAATACATTATCGCCGCATATTGGCTTTGCTTGAATCGTTCAGGCGATTTTTGAAATTATATTTCAAAATTTGAAGTAGTCTATATGATCACACTGGTAATAGATACATACATTTAAATAATTTGCTTTTTTTTTTTTTTACCGGTGTGATGGCACCTGCATGTGATGGTCAGTCTCAGCGGAGGGAGAGAGCAGCAGACCGAGGGTCCGCCTCTCAACATCCCTCCGCTCTCCCTTTCCTCCACTGCCTCTCAACATCCCTCCGCTCTCCCTTTCCTCCACTGCCTCTCAACGTCCCTCCGCTCTCCCTTTCCTCCACTGCACTGACCAAAAAGGGACCCTTTCCTCCACTGACACTGACCAAAAAGGGACCCTTTCCTCCACTGACACTGACCAAAAAGGGACTCTTTCCTACACTGACACTGACCAAAAAGGGACTCTTTCCTCCACTGACACTGACCAAAAGGGACCTTTCCTCCACTGACACTGACCAAAAAAGGGACTCTTTCCCCCACTGACACTGACCAAAAGGGACCCTCCTCCACTGACACTGACCAAAAATGGACTCTTCTCCTCCACTGACACTGACAAAAAGGGTCTTTCCCCACGACACTGACCAAAAGGGACTCTTTCCTCACTGACACTTGACCAAAAAGACCCTTTCCTCCACTGACAAATGACCAAAAAGGGACTCTTTCCTCCACTTTACCTGACCAAAAGGACTCTTTTCTCCACTGACATTGACCAAAAGGGACAACTTCCTCCAAATGACACTGACCAAAAAGGGACTCTTTCCTCCACTGACACTGACCAAAAAGGGACACCGTCTTCCAGCTTATGGCAAAACTCGAGTCGCACCGCATTGTTTCTGCCTCATGCACAAATTCATGTTGTTACTCCTACGAGCGGAGAAAGGGAAATATTCCTCGATATTAAAAAAGACCCAAGCCACTAGTAATAACAACAACAACTCAAGCCTATAGATACACTTTCCAACTCATTAATTTCTGCTTCAGTGCTTGTTGTAGTGCTGAGCGGAAATAGGAAGAATGTGCATTTTATCAAATCAATTTTATTTATAAAGCCCTTAGCAACTGTTACAAAGTGACAATGCAAGCAATATAGAGGTAGAAGCTGGTGGCTAGGAAAAACTCCCTAGAAAGGCAGGAACCTA